TCCTTAATAGTGCAGTCCATTGAATCACATTGTTTTCTGTGTAGCTGAGAAGAAATGTTAAAGAAAATCACAGTCATTATGGCTATAACCACCTTCCAAAGCTTCCTAGTTCTTCTACGCAGTCTCTCCATATAACACAAGTCATCTTTCTTGTCTGTGCAGTGCTAATACCTATTATTGACACAAGATCAATACAGCTGATGTTTCTAACGTGATGAAGGCCATTGTGTTTCCATCTTCTATCAATTTTCCTGCAACATTAAGAGTTATTGAGAACCTTTCGGAAACACAATAACAACTAAGCCTGGGGGGAAAGGCAAACTTCATTGGGGACTTCATCTTATATTTGGTCATATGATTGATGCTATTCCATTTTTCTTCCTCCAACAAAATGCAATATATATATATATATTAGAGATTAAATTTATTCACCTTTGTGGGCTTTTCTGAAATTGTATTTTCACGGAGTATATCGTACCCCCTTTTTGACATAACAAAAAACCCAAAATACCTTATATGGGACTATTGATAGAATACTCTTATTTCCTTGGTAGTAGAGATATTACCAAAAGAGAGAGCCTATTCTTATTTTAAAAACAAGCAAACAAAACCTTAACAATCTATACAATTTCTGTATCTGAAAATTCCATAACTGTTGATCCATGCTTATTGTTAAGAACCGAAAGGTACAGTAATATAGAATTTGTAATTCCTGTATTCACCCCATCCTCTAACAGTTTTATCAATGACATTAATTGATTAAGATGTGAAAATCAGGTGACTCGAGTTTTGTAGTCTATAATTGGAAGGCCAAAAATAAGTACAGATCTAACACTGCGTTTTACACCAGCTGATTTCATTCATTCCGCAGTGCCCTCGGCAGCTCATGGGATAGAAACATGCACAGTTAAAGGTTATGTAATGAAATTATTTTGTAATTATTTGGATCTTGTGTTCCTCTCCAATGGGGATGCAAAACAAGAACAACAACAACGACAACGACAACAACAGCAATGACAATGACAACAACAACAACAACAACAATAATAATGCTAAACCAAATCTGGGCACTGAATGGGGATTTGCCCTCCCTGTCATTCTTCCTCTGTTCTTGAAACATCACAACAAAGGGATGGTAATGGTGAGCAGTGCACTGTGGCACATACCACTGCATTGCTATAAGTGTTGTTGTTGTTCAGACGCACCGTTGAGTCCGACTCTTCGTGACCCCATGGACCAGATCCCGCCAGGCCTTCTTGTCTTCCACCGTCCTCTGAAGTTTGCAATAAGTAGCAGGATGTTAACTGCAACTTCCACCGTCCTCTGAAGTTTGCTATAAGTAGCAGGATGTTAACTGCAACTTCTTCAACTTCTCAGTTGCCTGAATTTTGTTTTTCTTGATTTTGAGCTGATTCTTGGCATAAAATCTCATTTTATGGAGATCAGTTCCCTGTAGGGTGTCCAGGGGCATGCCTGGCAATGCGAAGAAACTGGAGGGGGGCAGAGACATGAGGATGCATGCCACTGCATGTGCTGTGGTGTCACTTCTGGGGAAATCAGAAGTGACAGCAGGTAGCGCTAGGAGTCGCTGGAACCTCTTTGGTATTCCCCTAGAGTTTCCAGTGATTCCTAGAGCTACCCATCACCACTTCCAGGGAAAAGCTGGAAGTGACATCATGGCACATGTACTGCTGACATTCCCCCCTCCTGCCACCACTCTGAACACATAGAGGCAACACGAGTTACCTCCGGAAGACTTCCTACATAGCAGGAAGCCTGGCAACCTTAGTTCCCTGTGACAGAAAATAAGAGTAGGAATTCCGTGTCTTAACATAAGAACATAAGAGATGCCAATGTTGGATCAGGCCAAAGGCCCATCCAGTCCAACACTCTGTATCACACAGTGGCCAGAAATACCAGTGCCATCAGGAGGTCCACCAGTGGGGCCAGGACACTAGGAGCCCTCCCACTGTTGACCCCCCCAAGCACCAAGATGACAGAGCACCACTTGCCCCAGAGTCCCTATCTATACCTTGTGGCTAATAGCCACTGATGGACCTCTGCTCCATATGCTTATCTAATTCCCTTTTGAAGCCGTCCATGCTTGTAGACGCCACCACTTCCTGTGGCAGTGAATTCCATGTGTTAATCACTCTTTGGGTGAAGAAGTACTTCCTTTTATCCGTTCTAACCCGACCGTTCAGCAATTTCATGGAGTGCCCACGAGTTCTTGTATTTTGAGAAAGGGAGAAAAGTACCTCTTTCTCTACCTGCTCTTTCCCATGCATAATCTTATAAACCTCAATCATGTCACCCCTCAGTCGTCGTTTCTCCAAGCTAAAGAGCCCTAAGCGCCTTAACCTTTCCTCATAGGAAAAGTGTTCCAACCCCTTTATCATTCGAGTTGCCCTTTTCTGCACTTTTTCCAAAGTTATATAATATCCTTTAAGGTGTGGTGACCAGAATTGCACACAGTATTCCAAATGAGGTCGAACCATTGATTTATATATGGGCATTATGATATTGGCTGATCTGTTTACAATACCCTTCCTAATAATCCCCTGCATAGCATTTGCTTTCTTTATTGCAGTCACACACTGTCTCGACATCTTCCGGGCTATTTTTTTCTTTTGTACAGAAGCCCAGATTGTATATGCCTGGCATATCTGTCTTCCTTTCCCTTCTTGTTCACAGTTGTATGCAATGATACCTGTGGTTTGAGTCTTGAACAGCTTTTATTCCTCTTTTGTTCTCGATATCGCTCATACGGCACCTATCAGCTCCATGTATGAAAGCTGCAAATGACTGCTTTTCTTTGTTTCAGCTGTTGCTAGTGCATGCTGAAAATGTGCTCCATTGTGTAAAACTGCAAGCCACCCGACGCTTGCAAGTCACTGAATGTCTGTTATTGGCGGCAATACACCTTTAGTGCTGTTTAGTGCCTGATCCCCTTTGTCCTTTCGCTTGAACCGCACATGGCATGTTGTCACATTGGGAGAATCAGTCTTCGCTGTATGCCAAATAGCTTTGAGAATGGCTGCATTTATTCTCCATGGTAATGGAGGGGCATATAAGAAATGTGCGTTTTTGTTCAGAAGCACACACCAAAAAAAGAAAGAAAGAAAAAAGGTAGAGCTTTTCCACTGGGTGTGTAGTTTACATAATTCAGATTAGAGGACTGTTCTTTTCTCTGCTGGCATCTGTTTAGCTGACGTGTGCGTGACTTTGCTCACTAGTGATTCACCAATAAATGTTTTCTGTTTCTTTTTACCTTTATGCACAGGTTGGGAAACTATTTCCATCCTACCTATTTTTTCTTTGGCAAATGTATTGCTTTCATTTGCCTATTTTATGCCATTTTACTCCATTTTAATAGGTATCACATTCAGTGCTATCAGTTTCATCAGATTTCATTAGGACAGTTGCGAGGGGGGAGGGAAGGTTGACCACAATTTCCTTTCAAGTGTAGAGAAGCTATGAAAAGAAACCTGAATTTCCTGTGGCAGTGAATTCCATGTATTAACCACTCTTTGAAAGAAGAAGGACTTCCTTTTATCCGTTCTCACCCGACTGCTCAGCCATTTCATTGAGTGCCCACGAGTCTCATTCAGTCATAGCAGCAAACAATGGCTTTCTGAGAATCAGGAACCGTAGGACACGAGGGAAGAAGTGGGTGCATGCCTTCCTGAGGCTCTGTCATATATAAATGCCAACTCATGGCTTCATATCCTCTCTGAATTGCAGCTTTAAGTATTAATGTGTGACATAGCTAGGCACAAGTAGAAAATGTGGCATATTCATTCTTCCTCCCAGGCAAAGGGCATCCTTCCTATAGTACTTTTCTGATCTGCGTCTTCTTGTTCATGAAGGGAAGTGATCAGAGGATGCTTGAACAAGCTTACGGGCACGTGACTGTTATGTGATTTATAATGCTCTCCCACCAAAAAGGGGGGGGGGATGTATTCATCTGATTTCCAGGATTTTGCTGTTTTCTTTATAAACTTTTAATTTTCTTTCAAGCTGAGTGAATAATATGAAACATGATGTACTATGTAGGACTTCTTGAACATGGCCATGGTATGAGACTAGATGCACCACTGCTTTGATCCAGCAGGGCTATTCTTATGTTCTTATGGTCTTTGACATATGAGCAACACGTTTTCCCTTGCTTTAGCACTTTGTGTGTGTGTGTGTGTCAGTTCCCTGTTGTCTCTGTGCATGGAATCTTTGAAGGCAGATTGAAGATGGAACTATTCTGGTACTTCAGGAAATTATGAGACATGCACCCCACCCCACCCCAGCATACATGTGGCCCTAGGTAAGGGATAATGGTTATCTGTAGCCGCTCAGAGACCCCCTGGGGGGGGTTCGAGCGGGGTAGTTGAAAGTTAAATAAATAAATAAATAATCTTGTTCCATTTGGCTTCCAACTGGTGTCTGGGTCAAACTCACAATGCTGGTTTTAACCTTTAAAGCCCTAAACAGACTAGGACGGTCACACGTTAAGGACCACCTCTTCCGTTATGACCCCCTGCAGTGCTTGCGTTCCACTTCACATGGACTTCTGATGGTGCCTGGCCCTCAGGTAGCTCATTTAACTTTGACCAGAACAAGAGCTTTTTCGATCATGGCTCCAACTCTGTCTGAAGAGACCCGTGCCCTGCAGGTCCTGTCTAGGTTAAATAGGGCCTGTAAGACAGAACTATTCCTCCAGAAATTCCACTGAGACAGTCTTACTGGGCCTACTATTGGCTTCTCTGATCATCACGCCAGAGTGCCTGTGTGTTAAAATTGCTTTATAGAATATTTGTATTTTTATTTCTGTTTTGTATTTATGTCATTAACTGCCCCGAATCCCGATTGCTGGGGAAAGGGCGGGATAAAAATCAAAATAAGTAAATAAATTGTGTGAACATTTGTTTGGGGGGGGGAAAGAATTGTGCCAAATTTAAATTGTCGTTTTAATCCTGGTTTTTTTTTTTTTTAATTCTTCTTTTAAGGTGACAACCCTGGTAAACACAAGTAACAAAGGGCCATCCGGTAAAAAGAAAGGCCGATCTAAGAAGGCTCATGTGCTAGCTGCATCAGTTGAACAAGCAACTCAGAACTTCTTGGAAAAGGGAGAACAGATTGCAAAGGAGAGCCAAGACCTCAAAGATGAGTTGGTGGCTGCTGTGGAGGATGTGCGTAAGCAAGGTATGTGGAAGTGTCTGGGAGGGGGAAGAGAAGTGAGATGATAGATGTCTCCAGGATAACTATTTCATTAGTGTGATTTCTTTTCTCTCTGATATTTATATATAGTGCAACTAAGTGTGCAATAATGATTCTTAATTGCTTGAGATGGTACCATCTCTTGTTGCCTGGGCTTCCCTTAGTCAGGAGGAGAGACTTGAAAATCGTACTGTTAGAAGAGTTTTGTGCTAATCCAGAGCCAGACTCGTTCTTGGTAAATGGCATCTATTGAGACATTTAATTAGTTGTCTCACGTGGTTCCACTGAAGAACTACTTGTAGGTGGTGGTGGGGGAAGCACTGATTAGACATTGCCCCCCTCCCCCCGTAAATCAGTCATCATCACACTCCTGTGGCTGTATGATGGGAACAAGTTTTTTCAAGTAATTACTTAACCGTAGGCCAAGTTATGCTCTTTCATGAAGGATTTCTTTTTGTTTCTGGAATTACAGTAATTACTTTGATAGCCAGTTCTAAAGTGATACAACAAGTTCTCTGTATAGGTCTCATTAAATCAACCAGCTGTCTTGACTGTTACGACGGCTGTTATCAGGAATGGGATGAGAACTGAAAACTGGCTTTGGAGCAAGCCAAGCTGAGTGGCCTTTGTCACAACCACAAACCAGTGCTGCAGGTACCACGGAACTCAGTGGCGCCAACAAAGGATGTTGCTTCAGCCTTTTGCCTCATCCCACAAAATGGCAGTAGTGTAGAAGGAATAATAGAATCATAGAATGTTAGAGTTGGAAGGGTCCTTGCAGGTCATCTAGTCCAGCCCCCTGCACTCTGCAGGAGCACAGCCGAAATATAGCCCTACATACCTACAACATACCCAAAAGGAGACCACGCGTGAGCTGACCCCTGTTGTCATTGCTGATAAAGGGTTTGTGAGCCAAGTGTCAGAGTTTCTCCTGGTCATCAGAGCCCCCTCTAGGACAGTGGACCACTGGGAAATTTCTCTGTAAGTTAAATGGCCAGTCCACCCCTGGCTGCTATGTAGGGATGTGCATTCGGTTCGTCTGAACCAAATGCACCCCTGAAAATGGCCCATTCGGACCCCTTTCGGGCTGCTGCAGGCCGATTCAGATCAGAGAATCTGAATTGGCTTGCCGCCAAATTGCCGCCAAATTGCCACGACAATTCGGTCCCATTATATCCTATGGGCCATTGAAGTCAATTGCGAAAACATAGGGTGTATTCTAGGGGCTGGAGGGGAGGGGATTTGAGGGAGAGGCTCCAAACTCACAGGGTAGCTTCTGGAGCCTCTCCCCAAAATACCAACCAAGTTTGAAGAACATTGGACCAGGGTAACTTTTTTCCCACCATAGAGAACAATGGAGGGGATGGGGGCAACCTGTTTGGGGGCCCGTAGAATTGGACCCCCTGGTTCAATGTTCCTGAAACATGGCAGGTATCTTGGGGAGAGGCTCCAGCAGCTACCCTGCAGTTTGGAGCCTCTCCCTCAAACCCCGTCCCCTCCAGCCCCCAG